TATATATATATTCCATCCCCAATATCTCAAACCACAGCAGCTCTTTTAATACTTACACTTATAAAATCTCCAAAGTGTTAGCTTTATTTTGATACCAAGATTATTTAAGTAGATGTAAATGCTGAGATACACTCAGTTACATTTTAGCATAGTACTTCGAGCAAAAACATCAAGAAAACCTCTTGGGGCTTAAGAAGTTAACTTGTTAAAGACTAAATGGATATAGCAATTTATCAGTATGAATGCTTTTCAAAGGTGGCTCATGCAGTTTGAACCTGATGATATTCAGTCAGGATTGTGTGCCTTTGCAGGTTTTTGGACATACCAAAAGTAACATGCAGGCAGTAATTTACAATTACTAGTCCTGGTCATTATTTACAATTTCCTTAAACACCACGTTACATCCCAAATCATCCACTTAAGCTTAGACAAACACCTGTAATGGTTTTGAGACCAGTAAATATGTACAGAGACGACGTGTACACAAACATTCACACACATTATAAATGCCAATTAAAGTTATCTAAGTCTTAAAGGTCTGCTCACCAACAGGCCCAGCATCTCTGGTGGGTCCCTGCGCTACTCTGTCACTCCAAGTCCTCTTATTAAAAATAAAAATATAATTTAAAAAAGTTATATGTTTTTTGATAAATTCCAAAAATAAGGTAGTTGATCTAAAAGGGAACTCATCTCATGTCCTCGTAGTCGGTGCCTGCAGGTGGGGAGGTGATCCTCTGAAGGCCCGCCTCTTTTCATCTCATCTGTCTGTCACAGTTATGGTGAAGACCCAGGTGGAGGACTCAGCAAACACCTGGATCAAAGGCTACCTGACAGATGGACCACAGTTTGTTAGACTGAAGGGTCATGTTACAGGAGCACCACAGAGGACTGTACTCTCACCATTTCTTTTTACACTTTACACCTCAGATGTCCGGTACAAAACAGACTCCTGTCATCTGCAGAAATACTCATGGCTCTGCAGTCGTTGGCTGTAGCAGAGAAGGACAGGAAGCCAAGTACAAAAATGAAAAAACAAATGACCATCCACTTTTCATTATTGTTTTTTAAAACAAAAATCAAATGACCAAAATGTACATGGACCGTTCTGCCTGTGCAGACATCTGTACTGCTCCTTGGTTTTTAATGCCTTTTGATTCAAAGCACACTAAAACTAGGTAAACTGAAGACTAAACACTAACTACACCCTCACTTTAAAACGCAAACATTTTAAATGTCACTGATCTAATTACTCAGCACCGCATCACCGTCTCAGCATCACCGCCAAACTCCATTCAACTTTTGCGTCTTTTTATTTTCTTCTTCCTGTAGATTATTTTGTGCTTGTCAGATAACTTTGGGCCTTGGTCAGAAAGGAGGTCTGGTGGTTTATCTTTTTTCGGTTTGATAGAAAGATGAGACTGACGGCCAGTAGCTGTGTTTTTTTTTTTCCACGAGATTACAGTGTTTCCTGCTCCAGCTGCAACACGTTTCAAATACGATCATTTTCAGGGGGAAAAAATGGCAGATATGGTTTTTATCATAACTTTGGTTTTACTTGGCATTTCGACACGATTTAAAAACTGCTGTATAGTTTGAGGTCTCTACTTTTGACACAATATGTGTGTAGCTTTAATCCACATCCTAACATAAAACAAGCTCTTCATCATTAGAAGATACAACCTAAAATGTCATTAAACCCCCACATTAAAAAGTAGCACTGCAGTTGAAAACACATTGTCCCAAAATGATGCAGAAAAACTGGTTGAAATCAAGCATCTGGATGGCATCATGCTGATTTTGAGAATATCTGTGAACCTACCTGCTGACAGAGGTGAACTTCTTCTTACTAGTTTTCATAAAGCCTTAATTAAACTGTGAATGCCTTGTTGTCCATACAGAACAGTGAGTGATGCAGGATGTTTGTTTTAAACTCACCAGGCGAGGCAGGTGGAGAAGATGCAGCTATCAAACTGGGAGCCAAACGTGTCCAGAGAAGCTCGAGTGCAGGTTTAGCCATAGATATGTATAAAGGCTTTAGCTAGCTAGCTTGAAACGTGTCTGCTCGCTGGGCTTCACTCAACTCCGGCAGAAGCGGTAGGTCGAGTGGGCGGAGTTTAAACAATCTCAATGGGTGTTTTACTACCAGTAAAACTCAGTCACCGGATGACCCAGAGCAAGAGTCGTTATTTTTTTCCCCATTTTGCTGCGCCATATTAGAGGCC